AAAAAGAAAACAGAAAGGATATTGGAGGAATAGACTGATGGTAGAGTGTCTTGGCCAAACATGGTGGAGCTCACAGATTCAAAGGAAGATGTGAGCAGCTAGGTCTTGGGAAGAGGAGGGGCAGGAAGCCAGGGTTCCTCCGGGGATTCCAAGAGTCTGAGCTCATAGCTATTTTTCTGGGCTGCCGCTGTCATGAACTTCAACCCTACTTATAATCTCTGTTCATGTTTTCAAGTTTCTTTGAGAGAATCTGAGTGGTACAGCTCGAGCCAGAGGTCTCTGCCCTTGAGGACAGTTAACACAGATGTGGTTATGGTGGTAGAGTTCTGTTGCCATGTCTCTTGCATCTATCAAAACTAACTGGAAATGTTTTGCTTTCCTGTCATTTTTTTGTTTTGTTTCTGGTTTTTGGTACTGGGGACACAACTCAGGACCTTGCACTTGTGAGGCAGGCAGCAGAACCACTGAGCTAGATCCTCAGCCCCTTTCTATCCTTTTTGTAGGGCACAGTTGACATCTTTTTGGTTTTCCTGTTGTTATAGTAGGTCTTTGGAATGCTGTGCCTACCTGTTCACCTATCAGCTCACCAGTGGGCTCCACGATTTTTTTTGCATAGTTTCCTGGACAGAAACATTTTATTTTTCCTCTACTGGAAATGAGCTCTTATGAGTTCCAGCCCCAGTCCTCTAAGAAAATTTCTCCATAGTATTTTACATTTGTTATTTTCTTCGTAAACTATCGAACTATACTACACATTTAGAATCAAGTAAAATACAACCATGGTCAGTGCTTTGTGTTTTTAGTGACATCATAGTTGCTGCATAACTCATCAACAACATCTACTCTGCCTTTGGTTTTGTTGTACAAAGTTTCCATCCCAGGCTTCCATTTTGTTGAGATTTCCACATTGATACTTCCATCGTGGTACAATGTTAACATCAGTAGTACCAGTTTTTTTTTTCTTTGACATATACAAGACCAATGTAAATCTTTCTGAAATCAAAAGATTATACTATACAGTTCTCTGTTTGGAAATTGCACCAGTTTCTTTAAAATTTCTGCTTTGTTCCTGTGTATAAT